CTGGGGAACAGCGACCAAAAAAACTTGATGCCAGGGCCCACCTCCTAGAGGTTTTAATTGAATTAATTGAGTCATGGCACAGCTGGGTCTTGGAATAGTTGAAACTTACCCAGGCGATTAAACATCACATGGGGCCAAGGTTGTGAAACACTATTGTAAAAGCTGCTGAAATCTTAATATGCATTGAATCACTGGGGATCTTGTTAAAATTCAGATTGATTCCATAGGTCTGAGATTCTGCATTTCTAAGAAGCTCCCAGAAGATGCTGGTGCTATTAGTCCCGGGATAACACTGAGGGAAAAGGCTAAACCCCAGAGGATCATCAGAATCAGTGAGTGATTTTCTGAAGCTGAGGATGCCTGATTTCTGCCCGAGATGGGGCACCGCCCACTGCCCTTTTATAGAGAGCCAGATAGGTCAGATGCATTTCCCTCTTCGAGAGCCCTGGGTCTAGTCTGACGGTTTACTTATGAAGAAACTAGCCCCAGAGGGTATGTCACCTCTGCTCTGATGTAACTTTTCTCCTAGGAAAGTTCATTAGTGAAGGAAAACGATTTCAACAGAACATTTTCTGGCATGTAGGTCCCCAGTGCTGACTGGGGACTGCAGTTGGCTCGCGTGAATTGAGCGTGATGCTTTCATTAACACAGCTCAGAACCCAGCCGAGGAGCACTCGCGTGATGAATAGGGTCCTGGGTTCTACTTGAAGCATTATCACATAATATATCAGTTTTATGTCAAATGAACTGATGGTTTTATGGCTTTTCCATTCAATTTGATAGGCCCCTTGTCATGGGCTCTTTTTAATATGACTAGAGGGCATTTTTTGGTGGTTGATGACATAGTGATTTATAAAACCCACTTCATGCATCAGCCACACATATGTAAATCAGAAACATTTCTTTCTGGGAAAAATTATCAATGCCATCCTGTGATAAATAGGTGCATATTCAATGGGCAGGCATTCATCAAGACACAGATTTGCATTCACTTTTCTATATATCATATAACCAAGCAATTAGCACAATAGCTGGAAAATAGGCTTATAATGCTGGGTCCTTCCAGATGGAGGATGTGCAGCTACTGAGCTCAGTGCCATGTGACCATTACTGCGCTGAAGCAGGTGGCTGGGAACTCAGCTGAAGTTACCAGAGCATTAGGTTGGAGGTGGAACAGAAGCATTTTTTAAATCTATAAGTTGCAGGATTGTTATGTAACTTAATATTCTCAACAGTCTTTAGTCGTGAGAACCTGCTGTGAGATAGGAAGTATTATCTACATCTTAAGGATAAGAAAACTTAAGTGAAAAGACTTATCTAAAATTTGAGGTCCGGTCAGTCTGATCTCACCATGCTCTTTCTGCTCCTCTACAATGTTGGCAGAAACCAGGAGCAGCATTTGCAGGTCAGCTGAAGTGAATTTTGTCACTGTGATACCAACTTTGCTGAGACCAGACTTCAGCCCTCAGCAAGTTGTACCTGCCATCTGCTTTCTGCGCCTGGCCTCGAAGACAGAGGAATGATATCAGAAGAGCTATCAATAGAGCATGAGGGAGGGAGAGAGGGAGGGAGGAAGGAAGGAAGGAAAGAAGGAAGGGAGTCTGATGGATGACATCAAATCAGTTAACATACTTAACTGCTTGTATGTAATAAGGCCCCAAATAAATTGCAACTTCCTAAAACACAAATATGCCACATGCACTTGAAAGAAACATATTTTATTTCCTAAATATTTGTGATATTTGTTGGAGGGAGAATTACAACATTTTCCCCACAGAGTTTTTAAGATATTATATTGTAGGGTAAGGTAAAAAGTATCAGGTTTTACTGCCGTCCCACCATTGGGATAGATGACGGAAACCTGTGGTCCCGAATGCATGCCTGATGGCGGGCACCTGGAGTAGGGTGTGGGCCTATGTAGGTGAGATTCATCTGGGCTGAGACTGGGCTTTTAGGGGTGGCGTCGCGGGGTCACCAGCAGAAACCAAGAAAGAAGCAGAGGAGCCGACAGAGAAGCAGAGCCATGAAAAGAGCAGAGAGAACGTGAGAAGGCCGGAGAGCCCAGAGTGAAGACTTACTGGGGCAGGTCTTGTACCTGGTAATCCCAAACCAGAAAAACAATAACCAAAAAATTTCCTGTCTCTGGCACCCACACTGAAGCCAGATAAAACACCTGGAGCTGATAGAGTGGTCAGAGCTTCCTCAGCAGCCTTGATTATTAATGTTAATTCCAGGATCTCTGCCATCGACGGGGCCCTAGCAGATAAATCATACCATTATTCTTTAGCCCTCGAGCTCAGGTATAAGTCTCTCTCAAGGGGAGTTTAGATTTATAGGTGATGTAATTTAGAATTCTAGGCTCATAAGTTAATGCTTCAGAAACGTCTTCTTTATCTTTTCTGGAATGATAAATGGAGAGATCCCTGGCACTGCTCCTCAACTCCTTGCTTGATCTCCTTGCTTTTCATGAAGGCCTTATTCTGCCAGATTCACTACTGTTCGCAGCTGAAAAGGCAGTGGTGTGGTGTAGACAAGAAAGAGATTAATGGCAATAGTGGAGCAATGTTTTTGAAGCTGTATCTTTGGAGAGATAAATACTACTTTACAGCACTCACTTTATGCTGGGCCCTGAACTAGTACTTTGGGAAATGACATTCTAAGTATATTCTAATTACATAAGTAAAGCCAATATTTATGTAATGTTTTACATATCTTATCTGTTTAATCCTACACCATCCTTATAAGGAATACATTACTGCCATCCCATTTTCCAGATGTGGAGATGGGAGTGAGAGAGTATCTCATTGTGGTTTTATTTGCATTTCCCTGGTAAGTGATGATGACCATTTTTTCATCTGTCTGCGGGCCATCTGTCTGTCTTGTTTGGAGAAGTGTCTACATAATAGCTCTTCTGCTCATTTTGTGATTGGGTTATTTATTTTCATTTTGTTGAATGGTATGAGTTCTTTGTATATCTTAGACATCATATCCATGTGAGAGGTATGAGGTGCAGATGTTTTCTCCCATTCAATAGTGTCTTTTCATTTTAATCTTAGTTTTTTTTGCAGAAGATTTTTGGTTTGATGTAGTCCAATTTATTTTTGTTTTGTTTTGTTGGAGGCCAGTACGTAAAGACATTGAAGCCAATTCATAGAGTGTTTTGCCTATGTTTTCCTCTATGTATTTTATGGTTTCCAGTCTTACAACCAAGTCTTTAAACCATGTTGAGTTAATTTTTGTGTATGGTGTGAGAGAATGGCTTAGTTTCATTATTCTGCACATGACTGCCCAGTTTTCCTAGCAGCAATGGAAGAGAGGAAATTTAGGGGTTAGGGAGAATAAAAAAGGAAGAGAGAGAGAAAAGAAACTACAGATCCTTTTTTTAAAAGATTTATTTATTTATGCATATTAAGAACTGGGGTACAGCCAGAGGTGTGTGGGGTGAGAGGATTCACCAGGGACAGAGTGGGGAACAGAACAGGCAAACTGACTGAAATATACTGCTGAAGGGAGCAGCAGGCAAGTCAGAGAGGTCTGCTGGCTGAGGATCAAACTCATGCTGCAGAGGCTGCGGATAGCTTCAGAGGTTGTGTCTTAACCCCTTGTGCCACCAGGGAGGCCCAAAACCTCAGATCCTTAAGTAGTCCCATTGGGAGTGAAGGATGGCGTGGAAATTATGGGTGCTGAACAATATTGAGAAATAACTGTGTGGGGAGACATGTAACTATTTGAAAATACAGAGTGGGGAGGAGGCTATAGTTTATGGGCACACTAAGAATGCAGCTGTGCCCAGGGCAAAGTGAGCAAGGAACAGAAAGGAGCTCAGAAGTATTATCAGTGCAGGGGTTCAATGATAACAGTGTTATTGTTAATATTATTACCCTAATGCAGGGTTTCAATGATAATAATTGGGATTTTATTTTACATGCAATGAAAAGTCACTAGAATGTGTAATTAGGACAGGAAAGCAATGTGATTTGGTTTATATTTTAAATGACTCACTCTAACTGCCATAAATTGGAGTATTTAGTTATTACTAATTAACAGTATAAAATTGAACAAAACTTCTATAACACATTTTGATATATAATTAATAAGCACAAATGGTATATTTTGGAAACGTTATGTCTCAAGTTCGAGAGATGGAGTGCTTTTTTTCCTCCAAGTAGTATCTATTCCATGAGTGAATAATCCTGGAGGTAAATTAGACCAACTATATTCCTATATTTCACTTTTCATAGCTATAAGTTTTGAGATACCTACTTCTCCATAATTAAGTAGATGGGAAGGAAAAATTTATATTGTAGTAATATAATTTAATATGTTTGAATTCCTTTTGAGTTATTTATTTAAAGTCACACTGCAATTTATTATCACAATATTTTTGGTGGCCTATGAATTGATAGCTGTAGTAAATCCTCCTTTAATATGGAGAAGGTCAAAAACTGGCAGCCTCCCAGCTTGCCGCTTAGTCACTGAGCTTCTCAACATTGGCATCTATATTTTGAATCATTCCTTTGACATTCTGCATATTTTTACACCCCAGGAAGATCAACCAAGGGTAAGCTTCCGTGTTATGGAAGAGAGAAGTAATGGCAAATTCATCACCTCCATCAAAACAGATACCCAGCACATGAACTTAGGAAAAAGCATATGTACTAGTCAAATATTTAAAAGTTGATTTTTAAAAACTGGCTTTGCCTGCCTACACCTTGGGCAGTCTGCCTGCACCTGTTTAGAGCTATTCTTGGTGAGCTCCATAAGGGTCTATGTGTTCTTTCCTGTCTCTTTATCTCTAGTGCCAAGTAAAATGCTTGACAGTTATTATCCTTTTGTTAAATAATGATCCAACTAGAGCCTCAATCTTGCTTTACCCATTTTTCATATTTTTTTGCAATCTTGCTGAGATGGAGCAATTAGGATGCTGGAAACATTTATTTTATGACTGGAGGGTCCTAAACCAGGGGCTGTCACACCAAAAGTGTAAATACAGAGAAATGCAAAATTGTCTTTATTACCGAAGGAGCAGGGCTGTGATCAATGACAGGAGCAGTTGAGTCAGGCTTCCTGGCCATCAAGGTCCCACAGCTGGGTTCTCAATCGCCCCTCAGACCAGATGACAGCAGCGGGCGGAGGTCCAGTCCATCCCATTGCACTGGCAGTGGCATGTGGTGCCGTGATGGCGGATATCCCAGGAGCCGCAGCCATAGCCACAAGCACAGCTGGTGGCAACTGTTCCTGTAGGGCACGCGAGACAGACCCCAGAGCCTCAGAGGAGTGAGAGCCAGCAGTAGCCCATTTTGGTCCTGGTATAGCCCAGGGGAAGATCCAGGTGGACCTAAAACTAATTCAACTTGGAGGACCCTCTTTAAGAGTAAAAACAAATATGAAATTTACTCAAACAGAAGTAGGTACAGGGCTGTGGAAGAAACCCAGGAAAATAAAAGGCCTGGGAGACTATATCTCCTCAGATTCGTGATAGCTTTGCCTCTGAGCTGGCACCCACCCCCCAAAGTAGGGGGATATATCGGGAAAAGGAGATGAAGAAGAGGAGCGGTGGTAGGTGACATAACCATAGCGGGACAGCTGAGGACAGAACTGATACATGAAGTCATGAAAGGAAAGCAGGAAGGGGAGAAACCCGTTTCCTTAGCAATAGTCTTAAGGAAAATGAGAACGAGCAAGGATCTGGCTCCGTAAGACCTAACCCCAGGCTAACACAAATGTGAGACCCGAAAGCTGTGGGTGCTGGGGGAGGGGCAGGACGGCCTGGGCTGTACCCACCATTTCTCCTGGAGTTACTCACCTGTGGGGCAGGTAGACAGTTTGCCTGAGTTCGTGACACTGATACATGAGATCCTTTTTGGACGGGGAATTTTGGACTCTGAGGCAGAGAGAAGAATAGATACTGCACTTGATCTCTGTCTCCGTAATCCCCTTCCAAATCTGCTCCTACCCCAGGGCTGTCACTTTTGTCCATAGCCAACTACTCACTAGTTTTTACTGTTTAGTTTCCTCACTTGTAAAATGAAAGGAATAGTTGTATTTGTATTTACCTCATAAATTGGTTGTAATTTTTTCCCAAAGATTTATTTATTTTTATACAAGAGCTGGGGTACAGGTCTGTAGGGTCAGGACTGGACACAGTGCAGGTTTTCTGATCCAGCAGACCAGGTAAGGGAGGAGTCAGAGTCCTCAGTGGTTTTTGCAGGTCTTTGGGATTTACCAGGTACACAGCAGGCAGGGGTGCTGGGGAACCAGGAGACTGGCAGGCCTCCCAGCCCCCAGCAAGTCCTCACTCTATCTGAGCTCTCCGGTGATCTCTGCTTCTGCTTCTGCTTCTGCTTCTTTGCTTCTCTCTTGGCTTCTCTTTTGGCTTCTGCTGGCGTCCCCATGATGCCGCCCTTAAAAGCCCAGTCTCAGCCCAGGTGAATCCCATCTACCTATGCCCACCCTCTACTCCAGGTGCCCGCCATCAGGCATGCATTCAGGACCTCAGGGTTCTGTCATCTATCCTGATGGCGAGAGGGCAGAAAAGCCTGACATTTTTCCTTACCCTACAGGCCAGAGGCACGGGAGGGTGAGAGGATTCACCAGAGGCAGAGCAAGGAGCAGAACAGGCAGATGATAAAAATACACTGCTGAGGGGAGCAGCTGGAGCGACAGGAGAGGTCTGCTGCACCATGTGCGACCTCACCGGCCAGGATTGAACCCGCACTGCGGAGGTTGCAGCCAGCCACACAGCGCAACGCTCAACCTGCTGTGCCACCAGGGAGGCCCAAATTGGTTGTAAATTTAAATGAAGTAATCAATGTAAAGCTTTGCATTATACCTGATTCACAATGAGTATTCAGAAACTATAACTCTCCTCCTCTCCTTGCTCCTTGTTATCCACCTCATTATCATCAGGCAAACCTGAACTTTTAGCCAAGAATCTGAAAAATCATAGCGACTAAAATAAAGCTCTGGGCAGGAAGATTTGATTTGGGTGGACCAGAGGCTGGGATCTGAAGATGGAATAGAGAAGCTAGAGCTTAGAAGCAGGAGGGCATAGCAGGGGTCACCCTCCCGCTTCTCCCACGCCAACCCCAGTCAGTTACCTAGACCACGGATAGCTGCTGCAATCTTTCTATCCACTATAGAATCCAAAGAATTCTGAGAAGTCCCTGGAATTATCAACTGGAGAAGGGGGATGAGGATGAGGAGGAAGGAAGAGGTTGGCTTCATCCTGTAGAAAAGCAGTGTCCTGGGGCTGGAAGAAAAAAATGGAGAGAAGCTGAGAGCTCGGCCCCATTGTGGTTGGAAAGGAGTAAAGAAGGAAACATGGGGAGATTTCGGAAAGTGCAGATGGAGTATCGAGGAGCCTGGATCTCTTTAAGCAGTTTGAAGAAGCAGGGAGAGAGGCTGCAGAGCAGACTTACTTATGAAAATGTCCAAAAAAAAATGTCTGCATGGACTGGCCAGCCAAGGACGTTTTATACCCTGTGGTATTGACATGGCCACCCCCAACACACCCAGACAAACACACTCTCAAAGAACCAACCATGCCAGCTGGGGGGTGATCCACGACTGATAAACTTCAGTGTGTCCATAATAAACAACAGCTGCCTTTGTTTTGGCTCTCAGCCAGGGGTGGTCCTCTTGCCCTTCTGTTGTCCCATCTCCTCTCTTCTTGGCAACTTGAAAGGCTACCACGAGGAACTTCTGTGGACTGTTCTGTTACAGATCTCTCGTTTGATTCTTAATCAGGATGAACTGGTGGCTTTGTAGTCTGCTGAATGAGGGCCCTGCTTATCACCTGTTTAGACAATCTATCTATTGTCCTTGGCTAATCCTATCTGTGGGAAAGTATAGAAAACCTTACACTAGCTTAAAAAATAAGGAAATTTACTAGTTACTAATCCAGGGCAGGGCATTTGTTGCAGGGTTCTTTTGGAGGGTTAGCAGGGTCCTTATCAGTCTGATCTTGCCCCCATTTTCTCCACAAGGTGGCAGGCATCACATCCTCAGTTCAGACCCTGAGCAGGAAGGAAGGATTGAGGTTAAGGCCATTCTCTTTGGAGACTTTGCCTTTTCATTTGGAAACAAGATTTTCCCCTAGAAACTCAAGCAGATTTCTCCTTAAGTTTCATTGTTCAGTTCTGGGCCACATCACCTCCCTTTCCATCATGTGTGGCTGAGAAAGCAACAGATCTTTATTCAAGGTCATTGGACTAGACGTGTCTCAGAATGTAGACGGTAACGCAGAGTCTATATACGATGCTATTCTACCAAGGAGCTGTGGGGCAGCATCTCATAACCAAATACATTAATGTCTGCCTCAAAATGTATGAACAGTCTCAAAACATGGGATAAAAACCATAAATAGCCTAACTCTAAGTCACATCAAGTTGTGCTGCCAAATGAGTCAGTTTCAAATTTAGGGGAATATTTTAGGCTTTTGGGGCATTATAGTCCTGGGAATGGTGAATCAAAGATTGAGAACATATGTATGGCCAAGAGAAGCAGGGCTGTGATAATTCATCTCCAGCACTGGGCACATGGTCACATGACTGAATCCTGGGACTTCAGAGCAATAGGAAGAAGCAGAGACCACCTACTGGAGGCAGTCAGAGGTGGGTAAGCTGCTTCTGCTGTGGCCATTCTCATTGCCCCCTTTTTGATGCCCTTGGATGAACAGCTATGTTTTCTATATAGCTCTCTTAGGCAACATTGAGAATGGGGTTTAGGGATGTAAGCAAAAAGGCAAAGATGCTTCCTTAGTTACCAGATAGAATTTGAAGGGAAGAGTGATAGAGATTATGAAAGAACCCAGACATGGATAGAGAAGTTGAGTAAATTAAAGAATTTGTGGCTTCAAAGACTAAAAAGCTTCTCTGTTGCAATCCCAGCTCTAGTAACGTCACAGAGGGCAATGAAGACAAGGGCTCTGCCCTCTCGAGACTGCATTCTAATGTGGGAGACAAATGTGTGATGTGTCAGCTATTAAAAAATACCCTGAAGAAACGAGAGATGAAGGCAAGGCAACTGAGCGTGCTCTGTGCTGTTGTACATAATGCAGTGCATCCAGAGAAGGAAGGTATCTCGACATAGTTGCTTGTGAGCAATGATCTGAAGAAGTGCTGGGTGAGCACAGAAAATTCTGGTACAAAAGTTCCAGCTAAGGAGCAACCAAGTGTAAAGAATTTAAGGCTTGGAGATGGTTGTATGCTAAAGGAGCAACAAGAAAAGTGGTGTGACAAGAGTGACTGACATGAGTAAGGGAAAGAGAAGTCCAAAAATAGATCAAAAGCACCACTAGGGCCAGATTATACAGCGCTTATAAGCCAACGTAAGGTTTTGGGTTTTATTGTGAATTTGACAGAGATTATTAAAGCATTTTACTCCGGGGTTTGAAATAAGATAACTGATGATTTATGAAGCTTACTAAGATCACTGTTGTGGAAGAGACTGGAGGGAAAACAGGTGAGCAAGGAAGGCAGGCAGCAAGCAGTCTTCGGAGAGTTCTAGGATCTGATGGTTGTCAGGGAAGGAACAGGGATTGGATGGATTCGGGTTAATGTATAGAAGACTTGCTTTATGGGGTTTACTTATGTGGCTGTAGGAAGAAGAGTAGAGAAAGGTCAATGTCATGTTCTGAACAACTTATTGAAGAGTAATCTATTTGCTATTTCCCCTGGGGGGACATTCTATCATATTTAATCAAGGCCAATTTCGTATGCTTATTAGTCATTGACATGGAGATGTGACATAAGGAATTAGGTGTACATTCTGGGGATGTGAGAGTCAGGGGAAAGGTGAGAGTCAGAGATATAAAATTGGAGTGTAAAAAGCACACAGGTGGATGTAATAGCATAGATAATTCAGTAAAGGAAGAGGAAGCAGATTTGGGGTTTTTTTGTTGGTGGTTTTTTTTTGTTTGTTTTTAGGTAATCAGGCAAAACATGCAATAGGCTGGTAAGTAGATGCCCAAAGGGCATTGGTTTAAAGCTATGAAGAGGGACAGGTGAGTTCATTGGGAATGCCAGTGGAAGAGAAGAATCATCTCAGGTGTTAATGAATCTGGGTAATGGCTAATGAACCTGAGTAATTGGTCATCACCTTGAGGCAACACTGGTAGCTTGTGGTGAACACCTTGTGCATTTGACACCCACAGGGGAACATTTTGTTAACTTTCCTGACCTTTGTGTAACAGATATATTTCCAGTAATATTTAATGATCAGTAATAATCATTTCTTGATTCATTTTAAAAGCTATTTTTAAATGATTTTAAAACTATGAAAAAGAACAAATGTCAATTTTAAAGTTATTGTTTAACATTTTTCTGTGAACTAAAATTTGAACTGAAACAAAAATATTATACCTCTCTATTTGCACATTCTTTGCATTCAAATTTTAAACACAAACCCCATACAGTTTGGCCATATAGAATGATAAAGAATGGTCAAGTTGATGCAATTTGAGTTCTGTTTGTCTTTATGATCACAGGGCAATCGTCATTTATTTAGAATCTCTTGTTTAACTGTAAGAATATGTAGTAGGATAGGAATTACAGACAGAAATGCAATCTTTAATGTTTCTAAACTATAGCGAATTTCCTTTAAAAATGAAGGTGTATATCTGAGGTGGAGTATGTAGGACACTAATCCTACAGGTGCATGAAATAGTCCATTAAGTTATAAGAAGTAACAGCTTCTACTCTTCTGTATTTTTCTTATACTTTAACATTGTCTATCTTATGTATGCTTTAATTAAATACATCAGTACATTTTTATAGTCTATAAATCACATTTAAAAAAAATACATAGTGCACCAGATACATTAGCAGGAGACCAAGAAAAACCAAGAGACACAGAAAGTTTGTACATCTCTCAAGTACAAGTTTTTAGCCTTGTTTTTGACTAAAGAGAGCTCTCTGATGAGGTATTGAAATGCTGCTATTTCATCTTATGTGTTCATTTACTTTATTTTTTTTTTTTTTAAATTTTTTTTTATAGAGGCATGTTTTTTATTTATTTATTTGTTTGTTTGTTTGTTTTGTTTATACATGCACTGGGTACAGCCAGAAGCGCGGGAGGGTGAGAGAATTCACCAGAGCCAGAGCGAGGAGCAGAGCAGGCAGAGGGACCGAAGTACACTGCTGAGGGGAGCAGCGGGCGGCAGGAGAGGTCTGCGTGCCATGTGGGACCCTCCTCTGGTGGCCGGGGAGCAGCCAGGGATCGAACCGGCGCCGCAGAGGCTGTGGGCAGCTTCGCAACCCAGCGCTCAACCGCTGCGCCACCAGGGAGGCCCTGTGTTCATTTACTTTAAATAGTACATGAGTCAAGTTGATATTAGATGTGAAAACTGAGCTGCAAATAAAAATTGAAAGGTTGACCCATCCTTAATAGAGATGAGTTGTGTATTTGCTTGGACATAGGGCAAAATGTCCCTCAAAAATAATCTTGGAATCCACTCAAGGGTTACATAGGTACCTAATTAAGACTGCAGAGTTCTGCATCATCAGGCAGGGAAAAAATTAGATCTGTAAAATTTGATGAGTTGATGCTTTCAATTAACTGGAAGACCAGAACAGCTTTTTACTCATCAAGGTTCCCATCAGGCACAAGTCAGCAACAAGAAGAAAAGCTGCTTTCTGGTGGCCAAAAGGCGTATCCCAGCATGGCTGGGTGAATTGATTTGTCCAAAGCTGTTTTCCCCTTGGATGCTGGAAATGTCTAATGAAGACAACAGTATGTTCTTGTGTTGTGTGTTTATTGTGGCAGTTCTTGCCTAACAGATTCAGCTGCTGGGAGTGGACCAGGTAGAGTCTGTTTACAGAGAGGCACAGTGGGGAGGGGGGAATGAAGGGAGAGTGTCTGGAGGAGCAAATAGTGGAGGGGAGGTGGAAAGAAAGAGGATGAACATGGGGGAGGCTAGATGTCTGGGCATGTGAACTTTTCTGGAATGCCATGGTGTTTCAGTTGAATTGTTTAAAAGGTCACATCCAGTCTGCATTGTCCGATTTACCTTGGGGTCACCTGCATGGCAGCTATGGTGGCTCGGTGCTCTCTTCCCCACTTGTCATTCTGTCTCTCTGTGTCTGTGTGCTGGCTGAAGACACACTACGGAAGACTTCAGAGTCCTGATTCAGGAAGCAGGTGGGTCTCAGGGGAGATTAACAGGAACCCCTGTGAAACAGAACACACTTCTGGAAACTGTTCTATTTGAAGATAGTGCGGTGCCACTCCACCATACCCTAGGAGTGTGTGACCCTCCAGATAATGCTTTTCGGAAAGCTTCTCTGTTTCATGTCCGTGAAATGAGGGGTAGGGAAGGGGTATCCACAATTACTCAAGCAGTTTAGCAAATATTGCCCTTTGGTTACTTCAAGTTAAACTGATCAGGAATAAACTGGGAGACCCAGGATTGGGGAATACCTGGCTGCTTTTTTATTTCACATTACTCTTCAGATTCTTGGGATGCTGAGCTGGTTGCTGGGAGAAGAGGACAATTTATAAAGTGGCCACAGGGTTTCCTGTGAGGAAAAGGATAGAAAGAGACTCCAACACATTCACTTTGAAGTTCAATTTTTTTAGAATCTTGTCTTCAGAATCAGACTTTCAGGGCTGAGAAGATTCACCCTTCAGACTCAAAATGTAAGGATTGAGGTAGTCCTGACTGAATTCTGCTAACACAAAAGGGCACCAAGATCCCAAATAAGGACTCATCATGGAGGAGAAAGTTTGAACTGGGTGACCTGGGTGCCACACTAGAGGTTAGAGACGCACAGGTGAAGGCTGGTACTGGAAAAATTTGGACCTGAACTTGGAAGCATTTTTGTGATTTGAGAATAAACACAGCCCGAGACACTCTGGTTTGGGGATTCCTGGTTTTAAGTTGTGCTTTTAGAAAATAATGTCAAGTTTCTAACTGGTTTATTCTTAGCACCGAGACATGTTTAATGCCACAAATGATTTACAAAGTAAAGGTCTCACTGTGGGCACATCATAGTTCATAGTCTGCATAATTAGACACCAGCAAGTGCCTCTTCCTGAGCAGTTGTCTCTTCTCCCTAGCACTGAATGCCTCGCTGATTTTATTGCTTGAGAACAAGAAAAATTTCTTAATTCGCTGTATCTCTGATACCCATACAATGTCTGGCATATGTTACATGTCAGTAGTTGGTGGTTGGCTGACTAAAAAAATGAATGAATGTTGGCATAAAAAATCACCTTTCTAGTTCTATCCACTTCAACTTAAGTCTCTCTTTCTGTTGAAATATACAATGAGGATTCAGAACTTTATTCCATTTTACAAAGCACAATCACTGAGTTTGGGTTGAAAAGGGCCAATTCTGGCACACTGCAAAGGCAGCAGTGAGTTGTTCAGTCTCTCTGGTTCTCATTACCCCATGTTCTTGTCTAGTTCTACATAATCACCCAGACAACATTAATTCTCCAACCACCCCCCCCCAATCTTTCCCTGGCCATGAACTTAAGCTTTCTTTTTCAACCTCTCTCCACCTTTTTTTCTTGTCCACATATCTTTTTATCTTTCTCTTCCCTCCCCCAATCCCTTATCTCTCTCTTTTTCCAGACCTAGTCTCCTTGACCAGGAAGCTACTTTGTTTCATTTCCCTTTGAGAAATCAGGTGTTTCCTTATCGCTTCAGTCTGATCTGGCTGTTGAGTTGTGACTTGCTTTGACTAATGAATACAGCCTAAGTAATGTACACCTTTTGAGATTGAGCAACAAGTTCTACTTTACTCCCTTGAAATGATGCCCTGACACCATCGCGTCAGAATTTGGTTCAGCATATAAACGACAAGAAGTCTCAGGGAGAAGAACCAGGTTTTCCCAACCATTAGCCAGGACCACTGCCAGACACCAGCAAAGGCATCAGGGATCTTTTGGGGCCAGCCATTCCTCTGGGCAATGCTTCGATATGAGGGTGCCAGGTGAACCCAGCAGGGGAATGTTCCCATCAACCCACAGCATCAGGGTGGACTGTTGTTCAGACGTAGATCATTGAAACAGTACAAAACACAACAAAGCAAAAACAGATAATTATAAATCAGAGACATACTGCAGGGGAGGAGGAGCAAGAGGGATCAGAAGGAGGTAGGGAGGGCCACAGAGGATGTGGTGATGGTGCACGGGTGCCTTGGGGAAGGAGATTCTATGGGGACTCAATCTGAGGGGGTGGGGGGAAGCAAATATTTTCTAAAAAATGTAAAAAATGATAAATATTAAAATAAAAAAATGAAAAAAAAAACGTAGATCATTGAGATAACAACGCAGACACTTATATAAAAAGGAAGTTAGAGTCTGGTTATGGTTGTAAGTCTAAGGTCCAAGGAGCTTGAGAATTTGCCTCAGAAGCTTCTGCCACAAAATAGTTTATGATTTGCAAGAATGACTGGTGAAAAGAGTAAGCAGTGGTCTCTATGGGTGAGCAAGTAGGTAGGTAGCATGTATATTTTTATATGTGTGCCTCTTTTCCTCAATGAAAGTGGAGAATTTCTCCAAAGGATCTGCAAATGAGTCAAAATTGACCTGCAGTTTCCAGCAAAGTTTCCACATTATCCTTCTTGTAAGTGCTGCAGGAGTGTGCCTGGCATCAATCCTGTTCACTTATCCAATAGGAACCTGCAGGGGGGACAGGAGAGGGAGGATTCCATACTATTTTTGAAGATATGCTTAAAGCCTTTATTTGTTGTCTGGGTAATGAGAAATGCCTCAGGAATACTAAACAGAAATGGAAAAAGATCTCCTTTAAGCCTTTCCTCTGAAGTCTACAGGGGAAAATTTCCAAAATACCTTCTCAACACTCTACCCCCTATTGAACTACATGTCATTATAGAAAGGAAAAACTGAAGATGAGCCCAGGAGTCTCTTGTCAGATGTCAGCACCAGAGTCTTAGCACTACCAGCCCCCCCTGGAGATGATCTAAGGCTATTCATCATTCGAAAGACAACCAGCCTAAGGCAACTCAGCCTAAGAGTGAGACAGCTGCTGAAGCTCATCTCAGTCACAAATAAGTGACCTCATCGGCAAAGAGCTGGGAGTAAACCCAGGTCTCTGCTCCTCTGCATTGTACTTTCTATGTGGTACCATTTCTCCAGGCCCAAATGCAACCTCAGAGATGGGATGAGACTTTTGCTAATTATAGGTGCATTTCACATTTCAGTGGGATCATTGACTAAGAAGTTTATGCAGCACAGAAGTCTTAGGCAATACTGTAAATATAATCATAAAGAAAAATTCAAAGTGATTTCTTTCTCTGGTCGCAAGACTGCCTGAGACAACCGGAGAACAGAGGCCACACAGATTGGGCTTTACAGGTTCCGTTCTCATCCACAAAACAGTGTCTAAAGCCAGATGTCTCATAATGGATGTTGGATCTTTCCTCTCCTCCTGGGTAATTGATGTTTATTATAAAACTAAACAGGAACATGGGGAATATGGGAAAAAGAATTCTGACAACTGCTAGTTTCAATATTCAATTTTTCACAGTGCTTCTTCCCAAAACATACCACTCATGGATGTCACATGCCCTGACATATTCCTCTGTAATCATTCTCCATTACTATTATTTTGTCTCCTTCATGCTGAGTCCTGGCCACGAGCCCTGAGCTGAATGTAAGTCTTCAAAGTTGTGTTAGCAAATAGAAGGATGATGCTCACACCTGGCAATTGTGCCATAAATTAGAGTCTAGGAGTTAGTTTTGGTCTGAAAGTCCCTCTTCCCTGCTGCACTTCCTTTCTGGAATGAACAATTTCTGGCCCAGAATTATGAAAAGAATTTAAACAACTGGCTCTTTCTGAAGCTTTTTGATACCAGCCAAGACATCTGGGGGGTGACCTCAGCACTCCCCACTGGCACCAAGTTTGGCACAAGGAGCTATGATGTGTCAGCTTTCTTTAGCCCTGACAGCCTTCAATTTCTGTTGGTCTTTTGAATTCTTGTTAATCTCACTCTTCTGCTAATAAGAAGATATTCTTTCACAAATCTAGTAAGGGCCCAGGGTATTTGTGGGTGCTATCACTCTATTGGCAAAAGTCACTATCCAGTTGCCCTTTGTGTGGTCTTGTCTGTGACTGGTGCTAGGGTAGGAGGTCTAGGGGATACATAGGCCAAGAGCTGAAAAACCTGCAGGCTGATTACAGGTTTTCTCCATGTTTTCTTCCAAGCCCAAATCGCCTTTTCTGTGCTATCTGTTTTTAGCTTCCCTTTCTCTCCTGAAATTGCTGCACCATTTTACTAAGTTTTGAAGCATTTTTTGTTGACAAGCTATGGCATGCCCCTCATCACTGTACTAAATGTCTTCCACTATTCTTAAATCTCAAAATAACCTTAGATTTTTTCAAATGATAGCATTATGTCCTACTCTCCTGACTGTGAGGTAAGAGATTATCTTCTCAGGATCTCAGTTTTCTCATAACTAAAGTGGGGAAATAATACTTCAAGTGCTGTGATGGGGATCCAACTGGCTATGTGTGCAAAACCATGGCAGCTTGTTAGTTATTATTACATCCACTGACAAATTATATCGTTATGTTTTTATCCCTCCAAGTCACATTTCAACTAGGCAAGCATTGGTCACTAGACTGTTAGGGATGAATGGATTTATTTTGAAGATTGAGAAACAAACTCTTTGCATTGTCAAGGTGGCTAGTTTGATTTGAAAAATGAAGCCTCCAAATTCTAGTATGACATACTCATTCTAGTATGTCTCCAGGCTGAGGTAGTTAAAAAATCAGACCCAGACATAACCTCCTATGCAAACACATTCTTTCTTTCCATAAATTATTACTAAAATAAAAAGCTCCTGGTTTTTACATTCATGTGGTATAAAAGGACAGTCGACTCACATATTTAACTTTCAGCTCTTTACTCTTATATATTGTTAACCTTCTGTTTAAAAAAAAAATGCTATTTTTCAGAGTTGAAATGACAACCATTAAGCTCATTACTACTTCAATTTTTCTAATACTGCTCTAGTTACCTTAAAACTTTTTGCCTTGCATGTAAGACCATAATTAAAATAGAAGCTATTAGATGATAAAAGGCAGGGTGGAGAACAAAGGGTTTAAGAGACCTAGAACTGTGGTAAGGAGTATGGGTGCTTTGGCGGCGAGTGAAGAGGTGAGAACCTACTCCCCTAAATAATAAACAGCATATAAT